AATGGATATAAGTTTGATTTATTACCTAATTTAAGTGAGTTATGCTTTAAACCTCTCATTTCTTTCGCTTGGCAACGGATTTCAAGACATGCCACGGGCATTTTTTTGTCTTTTGAGTCAGCTCATGCTTGGCTGGTGAAAATAGCAAGTGACGTTTCCCAAAGATACGTGCATATAATCACACATTAAAAATCAGGCGATAATTTTCGCAATTTGTAAAGATCCCCTCCACAGCTTCATAACCCTTTGACAATATGTAAACATCAATGTTATATTGAGAGATATATGCACAGCTTTCCTTGCAAAAGATTTTGTAGGGAATTGTTCATAGCCAATATCGAACCGTCATATAAAATTTTGCATTTTGCATAATGAATATTAAATTGTGACAGCACTATGGAAAGTTTGCTTCTAAATCACGAGTTATTTCTTTTTCCCGCCGGGGAAAGGGCGGTGAACACGCTGAAGGTAATTAAAATTGTAATACACTAAAGTTTGCATCGATAAGGGCACAATTGGCTTCCACAAATCCACCAAAACAAGTTTCAAGTTCTTTCTTTGTTGATTTGCCTGATATTTGAATGAAATTTCAAGTGTCGAGGGCTGGCTTCTCAAGGAACCACTCCTTGTATATCTATTAAACAGGAATCATCTCATAATGCCAAGTATAGGGATGAAGATAAAAAAATTACAAAGTCGTAGCAGATACTATATATAAAGAAATTTAGATTTAGAAATATTTTCCCCCCATATATGGCGCTTGTGTGCGAAGCTTTCGCTTATACGGGGATACGGCTAATATTGCCTTCGGCTGATTTGTGTGTGAATATATTGTTGGCTGTGATACAAGAACTTATTATGCGTAATTATACGTTTTGTCAGCGCGTTTGTCGGATGTGAAATTGCCCTGTGTTGCGTACAACCGTTGCTCTAAATTCCGTTCTACTCATGACAGGCTAATAAACAAACGTTCTGCCTGTATTGCGGATGAGGAAATAGTCTGAGTAGACAGGTCAATCTTTTAACGGAAGGCCTGCTCGAAACGACAAGATAACACCTCTCAAACTCAAGCGTGAAAATTACTTCAGTGAAATTCAAGGGCTGAAATCCCAAACAAAATTACATGAAGGGCCGTGAATCCTTGTAAAACGTTCCCCGATTAGCGCCTTCGCAGAGGGCGCTCAAAACGACGAACAAACACGTCTAGGCGACCGTTCGGGGTGCTTTCAGGCAGCTATCGAAAGCGCGCCATATGATTTCCCAACGTTTTGAACGTTTCGCGTGAAGCGCTGGGCTATTAAGGATCTGAGCACAGTAGATCGTGGCTAGCAATCTCACGCGAATTGGCTAAGACGTGTCGAAAGATAAGGGACATAGCTGAGTGACATGTTATGAGAGGAGACTCCGCCTGCCATTACTTAGGCAAACAATGAACAGTCCTGTCAGCACGGGTGAAGAGTGAGAGATACCACTCCTATATCTACGGTTTCCGCTGCTTTTTTCCATGCGCTAGAAGTAGTCTGAAACTGTAAACGGATTTCGGCTGCCTCGTCGATCCCTCGAAGCGCGATGTTTTCGATACAACGACGCGCGAGTACAGCGTTTAGGGGTTTCTGGTAGCCACAAATCTTTGACGCATCTGCATAGCGATAACCCAAGAGAACGCGTATTCTGCTATCGGTGTTTAGAGGTGCTATCTCGGTTATCCGAGAAGAGATAAATATATTTTAATGGCCCTGCCCCCTTTTGAAGGGTTTCCTTTAGCCAAAGATAAGCGAAAATTTAGCAACAGTAATTTAAAAAAAGGAATACACGCCGTTTACACCTCCCCCGGTGAAATTAAGGCCTTTCGTTTCGCATTCTTACGATTGAGTATATGAGCCATTGAAATGAGGAGCTTCTTAGACCGTTGTTGTTGACGAAGTGCTGAGGATTCGTGACTAAAGGCTTACATTAGATAGGAAAACGAGATAACGCGTTGGATCGATCGTCTCCCTCATTTAATTCTGTCAAGCAATGTGTACATACGTCTTATTCACATATATAAATATTCGCAAATGAAGCCAGATTTTGACGATTCGATGCTAGCGATCTATGCTAAAGCGTGCATCTTTAAAAGCAAACAAAATTTGACTAGAAAGGCGATTGCGAAGCCGCGTTCCTCGATTTGCCCATCGCCATATGGCTCTGGATTTACATTTAAACAATCCTTAATGGCAAATTAAATGTGCATTAAATGGATTTTAAGAAACCATTCTGAGTTATTTGCCGTAGTTCGCACCGTATCTGAGTTCATTTGATATTCTTAAACGCAGAAACACTTCGAGTTATAGTAATTTAAGACGTGTTGAACATAACGACGGATTATCTGCGAGCGTGATAGACGAAACACAAGCGCAAATAATATCAAAACAATTTTTTTTGTTCAACGAAGCCGGTGTGAGATTTTCGCGTGAGGCATCGTGTTTTTCAATACTTCCCGCCGAACACGTGTTGCCATGAAATTTATGCTGTTTTAAAGACATGTTTCAGACACCTATAGATTATAATAGATCACACCGACAAATGAGGTGGTGTAGTGTTCATTGTAAAACACACACGGTAATTTGGCAAACAAACGTAAGCAAACTTTATCCACATACGACGTCCTTTCGGTAAACACGGCAGCCCTACTGATTAAATATTTTCCTTTCATCATAATAAAAAACAAAAAGGAATTAAATACACTATAAATCATTTGTGTTATTATACAAACGCGCGCGTGTACTGTAGCTATAACGCGAGTGAATGAGGTTTCGACCTTCAGGAAGTTAAGTTTTGCGAGAGAGCCGTCCAGCTGAGAATCCATTTTTAGATCCAGTTCGAGAAAAACGTGGTAGGGCTTCATTACAAGGGGCCCATTTAGTAATGTGTAAAGTAAGCAGCACTTGAATTTGTCTATATGATGTCGGTCTCTTAAGCATTCGCACTACCGGGTCCTGATAAGTGAGAAGTCTATGAGCTGCATGCTTCGTACAAGTGCTCACAAACAATGAGGACTTTTCAGCAGTTAGTTCGATGAAGCCTCTTGGCTGAAATTTTCGATGCTAATTAATCCATTGCGCAGCGGCCAAGTTCCCAGCAAAGCGCTTGTGGGAAAGAACAGCGAGCACTAACGCCTTTTAAGAATGAAGCAAAGTTCCGACAAACATAACACAACAAAACACTTGGAAATGCTTCATTATTTCGTCCATAATATGCACCTGTTCGGATTGTATTTTTTATATATAGCATGAATTCAATATATAGACACTCGTAATTCGTTTTACACCCCACTATAACCTACGGCGGTATATCTGCTTTCAGTTAACAAAAGCATTAATAACAAGGACTTTATAAGTCCTTTATTCTATTAAAATTTAAGTTCGTCGAGAAAAAATAAACATGAATGCAAAATGAAATTTGGTATGAAATATGTGACGACGGACTCATTACGATGTATGTTGGGACAGATATATTATTGCCCGTACAAGTTTTTTTTATAAATTTTCCAATTACCCCAACCGAGGCTTTACCAGAGCCAGTTTACCCCGACAAAAAAGGGAAACATGCACGCAAGTCCTGAATGAAAATGTTCTGCTTTTAATCCTATGATTCCTGGTCAATTTACGCCACTCGCGTAATCGCATTTATCTATCATTCGAAAGACTGAAAATGTCAGATTAATATTCAAGATGGCGTCGTGGAGACGGCACCGATGTAAAACCAAAAACCCCAAAATTCAGCAAGCTTTGCATCCTAACAACGTTTGTGTTTTGTCTGTTCCCCTTAGCTCGGTTACGCGTTCGACGCTGTTCGCGTGGAGAAATCTTGCAAAATCTGATGCGCTGTAAGGTATTTTTTTTGCGAGACGCAAGCAACTTTCGTATTTTATTTGCGCGCCACTGACGGAGAGTCTCGTGAAAACAAACAAATTGAAAACGTGGCGAACAAGATGAACGCGTGTATCGTATCTCTTGCATCTTTTAAATGTCATGAAGAATTTGAAAAAGTGGCTGGCGATGCCCTTCAGCAATATGCCCGGGTTAAATTTGACCGTAGTTACTACAGGAGACTAAAATGCTGCGAAATCCAATAACCCAGAATTGCGCAGCTGGTGCATGTTTGTCGTCAGAAATTTCACCCGGAAAAGGCTAGCTATTTTCGAAGGCTAACTGGCATTGAAATTCGTCAGGTCAAAGTATATGTCTAGAACGAGTTCGCGTTGAATCGTAATAATATAAGTCGTGAGGGATTTTTGAGCGCTGCACGCGCTTTGAGTATATATACACATGCACACACACAAGCTTTCTTTTTTATTCCAATCTGCTCGATCACAAAAAGCCTTTGACATTCAGCGTGTTCACGTAATGTACACGAAGCGTGCTTCCTATTACCTGCGTCTCATTGCCATTAACGCAGGAATCGAACGTACATTTCGTTTTTGTTTTCGCGCTGCAAACGAGGGAACTGATGTGTGGGTTGAGTGACAATGCGTGAGTGCTGATATTGGCCACGGCTCTTGGGAAAAAATTTAAATTTTAAATAAGTGCACTGTAAGCTTCGTTTTCCCTTCGCAAGCGCAGATCTGACGGGAAAAGCGTGAAATATGTTTTCGAAAACTCTACTATCTTCCCCGAACGCTGGCGTAGTTGTGCTAATGACTCGAGCAGTTCTTATATCTGGCCTCGATCGAAAATCAGCCTATGCTCGTGTGCTATGCGCTGATGATTGCTGATATAATCGGCGTGTAGAACAATTAAGAAATAAAGCTAGTGTCTTAATGGTCTTTCTTTGGGAAGGTGTTGTACTCAACACAGTCCTGAACCCAAATGAGTGTACTTCGGTGAAAATGAGGGCTGTCACAGTAGAAGCGCCCTATTCGATAATTTGTTGCAACTGTCAAAAGTGTCAGCACATTATCGCATCGACCAATCAGCGTCCACCGTGGCATGTCATACTCCTACAAAGGATCCGTCTAATTGTCATTGATTGTCGCTCCCCTGGTGTCGAGGTAGGAAGTTAATGTAAACTAAAGCGCTGGTTTAGTCTGGCCGTAGCCCCGTGTCGTGTGCTATTACACATCGTGAGCTCGCCTATAGCGTCAATAGTCGGAAAACTAAGGGAGGAGCAAATCGAGTTAACAAACATAAATAATCGCGATGTACAATCCTAATATACCGATTACGCCATTTTCTGTGAAGAATCTACTGGGAATGGAATACATGCCAGCCAGCTATCCTAGCCACGTAAATCCATGTATACCAACATCCATACACACGTTCCCGAAGAGCGAAGAATCTATAACAACTGGGGTTCACTCGCATAATATGACCGAGCACAATTTCGGCATGTATGGTGTTGACGCAGCGCAAGCATCCTTCTTGACTGCGAGCCACGATAGCGAAGGATCAGGCAAGAGTTTGGACCCCGACCGCGAACAAGGTTCAGGTATGTATATAGAGAGTTAAATAGGCCTACCCTTTGATTCATTCGAAGTCTATACAAGTATTTGTGTCTGTGTGTATGTGTACTATCGCTTGAGGGAACTCATTAAGTTCAAAATTAGGGGAGGGCATTCACACCGAGATTTGAAGAGCGTTCTCAGAGGGCCTCTGAATTGAGCCAACATTCACTTGGGAATAAAAGTAGATGTGTTGTGTATAGTACCGAAGCACTTAGAGCACCTCGTTGTATTAAGATGTTTCGCTTTCAAATTAGAGTGCATTTCGTGACTGGCTAGATCTCTCGCGAGTAATTCTGGCTATTTCCGCCGAGTTCAGCACTCACACGCTTTAAATACTGATAAAGACTTAATCTAACTCCCCTGCTGGCATAAACGCGTCGACTTTTCGATAATTTGTATATGACTTGGTTGTCGCTTAACACTCGCGAACATCGAGCGGTGTCGATCATTAAATTGGTCTTTTGTTACGAAGTTTGTACACAGACTAACACGCTTAACTTTGTAAACAATCTCATAGGGATTCGTATCCTTTATCTACCACGAAATCAACACTGACACAGCACAACACAAAGCACGTCGCTTCTTGCCCACCCTAATTTCCCGCTTCGCCACCATTTAGCATGCCGTAAATTCAATTTCTTGAGGCGCCAGAGCGCTGCGCTATAGGACTTACAGGCAGCAGAATATAATACGGGCAAAGATGATTTTCGCCTTCGAGTAAGACCTGAATTTGAACCGTAGTCTGGTCTATCGAATTGCCAGCGTTGGGAAAAAGGTGCAGGAATGTGCTAATATCTATCATTTTGTTAGTTACCCAAGCGATAATGACACGAGATTTGTTATCGTCGTAATAGCCCGAAAGAAACTCGCATTTTTTCTCGGGAATAATAAAAACAACAGTCACTTCGAAATGCATCAATGGCCGAAAAAAGTAATCCGAGTTGGGCCTCATGGCGAAATGTTTGCAAAATATTTGAAAATATACAGGTAGAATTTTCAAACAATCCTCGAGCACGGGGAAAGAGAATGTTCCAAGCACAATGCATTTCTCGCGATTCCCAATTCAACCTGGATATGGCAAATTGAATTCTTCTTTAAGTTCGTTTACCGGTAGAGTTGATCTATAGCTATACTAAAATCCGCTTGATTGAATGAATAATTTTCGAAATAAATTTCGTCTTTCTTTGGACTTTGTAATTCCGCTTGGTAATTTTGCCTAAGAGAAATCCATGCGTACGTTTAGTATTAAAATTTCAAGCCTCTTTCGTAAAGTAAATTCAGAAACAATGTGTGCGACGTGTGCTTGGAAAGTGCTTGAAAATTTCCCCACGTTTTGCAAAGGCCGTTTTTCGTTTGGTATATTTGAAAATAAGCATATGCATGCGAGTGTTGCCTGGTTTGTTTTTACCTGGTATATATTGGTCGTATGCAACAAACGACAATGTCATCGTTAAAAGAATGTGCACGAATTTTACAAAATGATGTTTATGTACATGATTGTGTGTCTATACTTATATCATTGATAAGTAATGTTGGATTAAGGAGCTTACCTACAAAGAATGTACAATTCTACATCGTATACAAAAACTTGACTTTAGTGCGTACTGAAGTATTTATCTGTTTCGGTTCATTGTTATGGTCGGTTCAATGTAAAGCTTGACATAAAAAACACTTACACTCGAAGCACTGAAATTCCTGTCGTTTCGAAGAGCATTAGCGCAACGAATAATTGGCATTTTTTCGAAACATTGATGCCTAAATAGATCTGTATAATCCTGTAGATCAATCGTATCCCTGAATAGCATAGGATTTTCTTAGCGCATCGCTTGAGCAGCGAGCCAAAGGGCATTATTTGCGAGAGAGCGCTACGAGTTTAAATAGGACAAGAGACCTTTCTGAACCTCGACAATCATGTTAAAACATGTCTATATTTCTTTCCTTGTACAGTGACTCCCAGTTCGGAAACAAGCCAAGATTCACCAAACAAGCCTCCATCAGTAAATCCAGTTAGCACAATACAGAGCACTCAACTTACAAGCAATGATGTCGGCAACAAACCAAAAAGGATACGAAGAAAGCCTCGAGTTTTGTTCTCGCAAGGACAAGTGTACGAACTAGAGCGACGGTTTAAACAGCAGAAATACCTCTCGGCTCCCGAACGCGAGCATTTGGCGCAGGCGTTGAAGCTGACGCCGAATCAAGTAAAGATCTGGTTCCAAAATAAGCGTTACAAGTGCAAAAAGCAAGCATTGGAGAGCAAGAATCGCGCTTTGGACCCGTGGTTGGGTTTCAACGAACCGCGAAGAGTTGCTGTTCCTGTTTTAGTGCGAGATGGGGAGTCTTGCTTAGCTACAAGAGCCGAAGGCGGTAGTTATCCATTTAACGTACCGAATATGGGAAATATGAACACGATGAATATGAACACAATGAACATGAACATGAATTTCCCTTATGGGTATGGCTACCCGGCATCACAGAATGCCTCAGCCGGTCTAAGCTCAAGATGGTAGTCTTACTGCACACAGGCAAACGTGCGGCGCATTTTCAAAATGACGCTGTTCCTAATATCCGTATAATTCCCCGAACAATACAAGAACACTACATTCGGATGCACAACTGTGCGATTCGAATTCGTACTGTGTATATAGCAATGAAATAATTTGTACATATAGATTGTTCATGAGACGCTGCTTTAGCTGTTCAAAACAGTGATAACTATATCGAGATGATCGCCCAATGAATTTTGGCACGAGGAAAAAGGTATATATGTACATGTGACATTCGCATCGTGGCCGATTAGATAGGTGTTTACAAGTATACTTACATTTGGTAGAAAATGTTTTAGAAGGAAAAGTAACTAAATATGACAGGAAGTTAATACATGAATTATACTAAAACAAGCCAACATCCTTATATGCGATATTGCTACACTCTTATGCTTGAAGGACTTCGAACACGCCTTCACTATCTCAAAACGAGTGCACCTCATGTTAACGGAGTTTCAACAATTTTCCCGTTAAATTAAGTCGAACGCATGCCAAGAAGTTTCCAGTTTCTTGAGCACTTTCACAACCGCGGAAAGCTGCGAAATTCTCGAAAATTTTCCACACGCTGTGTGGTCACATTTCACTCGAGTAGAGGTGAAAATTACAATAAAATACATGAATCTTGTATATAAGAATGATGCGTTCCTTTTAACAATAAACATTTCAATTGACCTACGCGTTTTATGATCGACTTTTTGATTTACAACAAAATTTTGTTTTGTCCAAAACAAAGAGAGAGAAAGTCTTATAATCGTAACAGGTAAACACACGATATTTTCAACATTTTTGCCAAGTTTTTTTCCAGCGCTTTGAGCGCTTATATTCCAAGAGGAAAGCTTGAAGAGTGGCAAAGCATCCTTAAAACCATATAAAGAGATGTATTTCGGTTCCGCCAACAATATGCTCAGGTAGTAGGCATATAGAAAAACTGGAATATAAAAATTCGTAGTTCATGCGTAGGGTCACACCATGAATTTAAAACCGTTCTTAATTCCCATAACGTTTGTGGAACTAAACCCGGATTTTACTCAATAATACATATAGCGCAGCGTATATATATGACTGAACTTTGGCAAGAAGCTATATGTTTTCATCTAGAGACTTCGTTATATAAGTGAATTATGTTTTGCCTGTTTTCTCAATCGTTCCTCATGCATGGTTCTTGTATGCGAATATACAGAATATCTTCAGTTAGTCCTATATGTATACTTCAAAACTTCATACACCTGTGTTTGCTTTTGACATCGAAGGTTTTAAAGTTATGCTCAAATTGCGGTCCGTGAATTTTTTTTAGACATTAAAGGGTCGGCCTCTTAGATATAGGCAATATTCGATCCAATCTAAAGAGGAATTATAAGTATACAAGCCTTTTCGAGAGTTTGAAAAGTACTTGATCTTATTTTTACAAATCATATGTTAGGTATATAAATATATATATAAATACAACAATTTCGCAAATTATTAAAAAAAATAACATTGGGACATCAGCTTGGAATTGAATACCAAGGCACGCAGCATGCGCGTTCTTAGCCTAAATAAAAGACTGTCTTTCGCTAAAGTTGATTTCAAAGAGATCTTTTTATTGAGAATGCAATCCTATCGTTATACCAATCCTAATATGACTAAGTTAAGTCGCGTTAGATCTTCTATGTATTTTGATGTACACCTGGAGTTTGTTATATATATGCACTCATGATTATAGTATATATACAGTAAGAAAATTTTATAGGTCTATATGCGGGTGTAATAATAATATAGCTTTGGACGCTAGCCCAGCAGTACATATAAATATACTTCACACCATTTCAACAAGTGAAACAAATTATATAGCCGGATAATTATAAGAGATTGCTCCTCAACGTACGTAGATTGTAATCATTTTTGGCTATTGCCCCTCTTTCGGAGTATATAACTTCATATACTTGGCCCCTCGAAAGGTTATGTTATTGATGTATGAGTCGTGTTTACTCACATAGTTTCGCTACCATATATTGCTTATATATATAGTTGCTCGCTTATAACAGAACAAAACTTCAACAAACGATCGTTTTATTAAATAATGTGACATTAATCAGACTCATGCATGGAAAGATCTTTTAGATCAGTGTTATAATACGACAAGGTATATAATCCGTACATTGGACGTAAATCATGTATAACTAGGTACAATTCGGGTTTAATCTACAGGATGGAAACTTTAATTATCGTTTTCATGCATTGGAAGACTTTCCGAGCAAAATTTCTAAAGTGAATTTAAAAATACATAGCCTATAATTGAATGGAACGATATTTTGGCTTTAGCGTTTTCAAATAGCCAATGCAAATTCATTCAATCGTTGAGATCACTCATTCATTATTGATCTAGATGAAAAGAGGTTCTGCTTTTAGTCATAAAATGCATGTTACTTAGATTTACAAATCCTGTTAGATGTGGGAGAGTTATAGCTTCAAATAAACATTACATCTAATTCACATCCATCATTCCTATTGCTTTTAAATTTCCTGGAACCTTAATGCGAATCATCACTGAGTATATATCTTGGGTTGTAAATATATATTCTTTAACATTTAAATGAGCAGGGTTTTCCTTGAAGGAAATTATTTGGCCTAATGATGCACAATTTCAAAACCATGGGTATCTCTTTGACATCTCAAGTCGGTCGTCATAATGTCATGTCTGTTGCTGAGCGATTTCAAGTACTTCAATATCTCATTATGGCTGTTGAGAAATATTGCAGGAAAGGGACCAATATATTGTAACTCTTCGGCGCCAAATTTCACGCAAAGAATTTGGCACAAAAACGGTTGAAAACATGCACGTCTATATGCGTATTCGGTATATTTCAAGATACGCTCGGCAAAGACTAGCAATCCATATATACAAGTAAATAATTATTAATGTCGAGGCAGTGAATATTCAAATATGCATATATATGTTTTGATCAATGAAATATATTTGCACTTTTGGGTATATTTGTGACTCACATAAACAGGCAGTCGATACGCGTTTTTCATTGTTACAAGTTTTGAAATCTAAATTATAATATCAGAGTATTTGAATTCATGAAAGAGAAATACTTCGAGAACTCTATATATATATTTATATACTTGATGCGGTTTGTTTGAGAGTAAAAACTGGTACTCGTAATATAATATTTAATTGAACAGTGAAAACAAAGAATTTTATGAAAGGCGATTTCTCTCTTGAATGCTAAAATATCCATATATGGGCTCCGTGAATTTCGGAAAGACCTCACATAGAAAACTTTCGCGTTCATATACAATACTTGGGCAGCTGGCTGTAACGACTGGCCCAGGAGTACTAATGATGATGATTGTTTTCGCATTCTTTTGTCTATTAATGCAGACAACATTGCAGCGACTCTCGCGATTGTTCTCCTTTCCTCATTTAGCGCCCAATACAACGGTTGACATCAACCTATACGCGCTATGTTTGTGTACAAATAATTTTTCAAATTCAAACACTTCTATATCAACAATGAATTCAGTATGCATGCATGCATACCCCCATAAGTATCTAGCACCCGGCGCAATATATATAAATATACCTGCCCGCGATAGATATAATGTTAATGATGACCCTGTTCCAAAATGGAGACGAGACATTGTAAAATATTGATCTAAACATATCCGAAAAGGGAACTTGCAGGGTCTCCTATACTAAAATTCACACCGTCACACGACAGCTCAATGGGTGTTAAAAATTACGCTTCCTTGCAGCTGCCAACATTTAGCATTGTGTTTGCAAATACGCTTTCTGAAATAGGAAGTAAATATAGCTAGCTGAAAAACATTGTATACATTTGCAATAATATTAAATGTTTTGACAGTAAATTTATATATACATCAAAGTCGAGTTTGCCAAAGCCACGTTGCATAAAAAATTTGCCCTTAAAATACTAATTTAAATATATACGCATATCGTCTTCAAAGACCAAGGAATATAATACGAGTGCTTTGAAGCTTTTCCTCTTAAAATCATAATTATACAAGTTCTTCCCGTTAATAGAGGCGACCACTTCTTCTCACAACATTAATTTGCGTCAGTTCCGAAAAATTAATATGCCCACAATCTACAAGACACCCAGCCCACTTAAAATAACTTAAGCAAAGAATTTTATCATCAATGCAAGAGCCAGGAAAACGCACTAGAAGATAACAGAGAATAAAATTGCACATATTTGATAAATCGCTTGGAATTTTCGCCCCAATCTATTTGTTTGTGAATAGTTTTATTTACATTGCCAACGATGTTCCTATTGTATCCCACAACTCAATGACAACATATATGCTATATATTCATATATATATTATATATATTCGTTGCATTTTCGGCCATACAAAGGGCCCTTCTTTTATGTTTGGACAGAATTGGTCTGCTATACAAACTGCAGCTGCGGCTTATTCTGAAGGTGAAATGTAAAAACTGCTCTTTGAACAATATACGCTTTGAACACGAGACATTGTTGGAATTTGAATGCGCGCCTAGTTACATTGCCGAACCGTTTTGATCAGAATCGATTTTTTTTTAAGCTTTTTTAAACTTCCTAGATTAGAATATCTAGATCTTGTTGCTATATCAAGAGAGGACATATTCATCAAAGGTCTCTTTTTTCAATTCAACTCGACCTTGTGTTTATTTTGCACAACTCGTGGAGTATAAAAAATTCACAGGCAATGAAATCGTTTCAGAAGGAAAATATGAGCTTATCTTATTCCAAGGCACCTCGCACAAACATATTGACCCCCGATAATTTGTATACATATGTTTGAAATTAGATCAAATTCTGTTTTCCATGTGAATTAAATCGCTTGATTACAGGGGCTGGCGCACGCTGGGTCATTAGGGTGAATACTTAATTTTCATCGCGGAGTAACAAAATAATATCGTTAACCCAACTATATTTTCGCAATCATAATTTACACCTATTCTCTTCCAATACGAGGCAATCTTTGGCGAAAAACAATCGCTAATTTATCGCAAAGCGTTAATCACTCTCTCCCATTATGAGGAAAGGCAAATCGCGAACAGTTACAGCTGATAATTTTACGATGGAATAACTTCTAGATCTTAATCTGTTTATAAGAAGTTTAAGCTTTTTTATATCATTACGACGTCGCGTATAGACCGGTAGCATTTTCAAGGAGCTTGTCTGTGTGCCTGCTAAAGTGCGGCTATGGGTAATAACTCTTAATTTGGAAAATGTATTGCCACTGTCTGTTGGCAGTTTTTGTCAAATGCAAATTGACAGAAAGCGCATGTTATGACGCGATTGACCAGTATGAGGTTCCATTTTTTTTCCCAAATCATCATGTGTATACCTTGTGTTGATGGTTTGGAAGCAGTTGGGTTGTGATAAATGAAATAGCGCTCTCTGTTAAATGATATTCAGTGGTTATATAAAAAATTAAGACAATCTATAATATATATACGATACTTTGCACAATATATAAGTTACGAAGGCGTTCGAATAAGGGTCCTTAGGTCTTAGGACGTGTAAAATTCTCCCGTATCTGGTTTGTGTTTGCGATAGAAAAAGCCGGACAGTCTACGGCAACATGTTTGATATCTTACAACACTTTGTCTGAAGATTCTGAAGTTAAGCATAATTCAATGATCTACATGAGTTTCCTGGATTCTGGGGCATTT